GGGCAATACATCAATTAAAAACTTGTATGACTTAAAAACATTTTTATTTTTTCCATACGTTTCGACACATAGTTTTGTGTCATCTTCAGTGGACTATGTAATTGTAATAATCCTAATTATTTCTTAATTATAATTGTTCACAATCTACAATGAAACCAAATCTTGTCCCTTTAAATTGAACAATATATAAATTTTCGAATGAGTTTTTTTATGAAATTATAAAGTACATCCCGCTATTCTGTATTCCGATGCAAGAGTGAAGCCTAAAATGTACACAAATGTGCGCACCACGAGTTAAAAGCTAGGTACAAAGCACACGAACTGACCAGAGAATTAAAGGTTTTATAATATTAAAATTTATATATTGTTCAATTTAAAGTGACAAGAATTGGTTTCATTGTGCATTGTGAACAATTATAATTATGAAATAATTAGGATTATTACAATTTCATAGTCCACTGAAGATGACACAAAACTATGTGTCGGAACGTATGGAAAAAATAAAAATGTTTTAAAGTCATACAAATTTTTAATTGATGTATTGCCCTGAAGACTGAATCTCATATATATATATATATATATATATATACGATACCCTAAAAAAATCTATTTTATTACTTACAACTGGCCATCCGGAGAGAGCACACCTGCCTATCGAGCGGATACAGTTTCAGATTCATAGGACACGCCAATGTCAGCGATATCCTGATGCTGTATAGTACGGAACCGTAGGGAAAAATACGAATGTAGACGTTCGGCATGATGATGTTGTGAAAGTGGCCCTCCTTTTCATTCGCGAAGAACAAATCGGGCATCCATACGCGACTTGCTTCGGTCAGTGTTAAGTATTTTAGACGACCTGAGGGAGGAGGGAATAGATTAGTAATGAAAATAATTATGTATATAATAATATACATATATAATATTGAATGGTAGAGTCTTGGATGTGTATATTTGTAGAGTTTCGAACAAGAATCCAAAATAAACAAAATAAAAAACAAGAAAAGTTTTTAAAAAAACAATTTCTTATTTAATTATTTGTTTATTGTCGACGTTTCGGAACTAGGTACGTTCCATCTTCAGGACATCTGTCAAGAAACATGATCTTGATGAGATTTTGCAAACAATATGTTTAGGAAAGAAAATAGATTTTTCTTAAATAATGAATTAAATTGTAAAAAATATAATAATACAGAAATATGATAATATGTTCAAAATAAAAATGATAAAATAAAGAGTGGATTATCAAAACAGATGTCCTGAAGATGGAACGTACCTAGTTCCGAAACGTCGACAATAACAAATAATTAAATAAAGAAATTGTTTTTAAAAAACTTTTCTGTTATTTTGTATTATTTTTGGATTCTTGTTCGAAACTCTACAAAATATATATATATATATATATATATATATATATATATATATATATATATATTGTATAAAAATATATTCAATTTATTGATTATAAAATTTTATGGTATATAAAATGACCAGTCATTTTGTCTCTGTCACCATTGCCAAGCTTGCTTGATCCTCATCAGTGTAAATTGTGGTGTTCCTCAAGGCAAGGTGTAAGGGTCGGTAGAGTATATTTTTAATTTGATCATCAGTGAAGTACATTTTTAATTCTATTTTTAGTAGAAAAGTCAATAGAGTCCCTTTTTTCTTTATTTTTTAGTTTGGTCGTCAGAAGAGTCCATTTTTCTTTAATTTTTAATTGAATCATCAGTAGAGTCTCTTTGAATTTTATTTTTATTTTGCTTTATTTTATTTTGCCTTTTTTCATTTTTAATTTGGTCGTCAGTAGAGTCCCTTTTTCCTTTATTTTACATTGCTCGTCAGTAGAGTCTCGTTTTACCTTTAATTTTAATTTAATCATCAGTAGAGTCTCTTTGAATTTTATTTTTATTTTGCTCGTCAGTAGAGTTTTTTTTATTTTGTTTTTAGTTTTGCTCTTAGATAGAGTCCTTTTTTAATTTTATTTTTAGTTTTGCTCGTCAGTAGAGTCCATTTTTTATTTTGTTTTTAGTTTTGCTTGTCAGTAGAGTCCCTTTTTAATATTATTTTTAGTTTGCTCATCAGTAGAGTCTCTCTTTTTTTTCATTTTCAATTTCGCTCATCAGTAGAGTATTTTTAACTTTAGTTTTAGTATGCTCCTCAATAGAGTCCTTTTTTAATTTTAGTTTAGTCGTCAGTAGAGTCCTTTTTTCCTTTAATTTTTAATTTAATCATCAGTAAAGCCTTTTTGAATTTTTAGTTTTGCTCGTCAGTAGAGTCCCTTTTTTTAAATTTTTAGTTTGGTTGTCAGTAGAGTCCCTTTGTCTTTCATTTTTAATTTGACCATTTTTTATTTTATTTTCAGTATGCTCGTCAGTAGAGTCCATTTTTTAATTCACTTTTAGTTTGCAGTCGAGTCGATTTTTAATTTTGCTCGTCAGTAGATTTTTTTTTAATTTTATTTTTAATATGCTGGTCAGTAGAGTCCCCCTCCCTTTTTTATTTTTAAACAGCACGTCAGTAGAGTTCCTTTTTCTTTTATTTTCATTTTTGCTCGTCAGTAGAGTCTATTTTTTATTTTATTTTTAGTATATTTATTAATAGAGTACCCCTTTTCTTTAATTTTAATTTGGTTGCCAGTAGAGTCCTTTTTTCTTTTAATTTTTAGTTTGCTCGTCAGTAGAGTCTCTTTTTCCATTAATTTTTAATTTAGTCGTCAGTAGAGTCCCCCTCCTGTTTTTATTTTTAGTTTGCTCGTCAGTAGAGTCCCTTTTTCTTTCATTCTTAATTTAATCAAAAGTAGAATCCTTCTTAAACTTTTACATTGCTCGTCAGTAGAGTTCTTTTACAAGCATTTTTGTAATATTTTTAAATCAGGAAATAGATTATTATAACTCGTGGTGTTCCTCAAAGCAAGATGTGAGGGTCATATTTAGTACTAGATTGTTGAAAATTAAGGTTTTGATTGGTTTATCGTATTTTTTTTCAAGTTTGTTTGAATGGGAAATTATTGCAATAATGAAAAATATAAATTTCGAATATTTTAGGATATTTTGGGAAAAAATTGAGTGTTTTTGAAGATATTACAAGCTTTTTTGTAATATTTTTGAACCAGAAAGTTCGATTTAAATGTGGATTATATTTGGGGGATTAAATATTTAAAAGGGACTCTACTGACGAGCAAAACTAAAATCAAAAATGAACTCTACTGGCGAGCAAACTAAAAATAAAATTAAAAAGGGACTCTACTGACGAGCAAACCTAAAAACAAAATAAAAAATGAACTCTATGTTTGGTTTATTATTCTAGAATATTTTTGATAAATCTTGAATTCGTTCTGAAACCTTTTATAATTTTCGAAAAATGTTAAATAATTTTGAATGTTTTTGAAAATATTAAAAGTTTTTGTGTGATATTTCTAAATCAGGTTGAAAATAATTGGAAGAGGTTTGATTCAATTTTGAATTATATTTGAATCATATTAAACCTTTTATAATTTTCAAAAAGTGTTAAATAATTTTTAATGTTTTTGAAAATACTGAAAGTTTTTTTTGTGATATGTCTAAACCAGGTTAAAAATATTTGGAAGGGGTTTGATTTAATTTAGAATTATATTGGATTTCTCGAATATTCTTGAATATTTTTTGAATTTTGAATTTATTTTGGAATCTTTTATACATTTTGAAAAATACTGGACATTTTTGACTTTTTTTTTAAACCAAAAAAATGAATATTTTGAAAATTGTTAAGAACTTAGAGCTTAGTAGTATTATCTTGTTTCTTTTAAAAATTCTTAAACATTTTGTGAGTTATTTTAAATAATCATTGAAAAATTGTTTTTTTTTGGTAATTTTGTGATAGTTTTACCTCCAAAGTCGTTAAATTTCAGCCTCTCATCCTGCCATTGTTCCCTGAAAGTTAACTGGACACTGTATTCCTAAAAAAACACATTAAAATATTAATTAATTAAATAATCAAAAAACACACAAAATTTAATTAAATAAACCAAACCGGTTAATGGAAATTCTTAACTAACTAATAAACAAAAAACAAGTTTTGGAACTTGAATCAAGGTTATTTTTAGTTAATAAAAATGTAGTAATTTTCGACATTTTATTGCATATTGATATGTGCAATAAAACATTTCGATTTGCAATAAATTTGCATGTACGTTCTGGGTTATTAATACGGAATAATATTATTTTATAACCTATAAACCTGTTTTCATAAATTGCATTTTCTACAATTTAATTTGCGTAAGAATTTCCATTTACCACTTCGATTTATTTATTAAAACAAAACTAATCGTCATGCATTTTAAATGCATCAAATAATATGCAATATTAATTAAATGATTTATAAGGTAAAAATATTGGGTTTAAATAGCTAAGATATGAACCGTGACAAAGTTCAGTCGGAACAGACCATAATTTGCTCTGCGCATGCGCAAACTGTCAATAGTTCACACCGAACAGACCTATAACTTTGTTTAAATTTATCATAAAATAATATTTATTATTATTATATATTTTTACACTTCATAAGTCATTTACCCATGCAACAATAATAATTTATATATATATATTATCATGCAAACATATGATCATGCCATTTCATAGCTTTTCCAATAATTAAAGCTAAAGCATGCCCATTTTCCAAAAATTATTATACTACACTACTTACATAAGAGACTTTTGGATTCAAACTAAACTAAATTAAAGGAAATCATCATCAAGGAATGTGCTATTTACAAATAAAAAAGAAAATAGACCTTCCATGTCGTAAATTGACCCACATAACCTCCAAAAAATTCAGTGGTAAATACAATTTTCCATAGAATCATTATTTGTTCTATGTAAATATTATTTGGATAATGGATAGTATTTTTTATAATTTTTTATTACTTATATTTTATTTACTATGATTATTTTTGCATAAAGCGATTTGTACAAATATATATTAAAAATAAAATCCAAGTAAATCCGTATCAATCCGCAAGGAAATTTCTTACATAACAAAAAATAGTGTTTTATTTGTTTCAAAACAAATTTTATTTTTTATGTATTTTTAAATTAATTATAAATCAATTTGTATATAATTTGTACAAGTATAAATAAAAAAAACTAAAATCCAAGTAAATCCGAAGCAATCTGCATAAGATTTTAATTTCTAACGTAACAAAAAATAGAAATTTATTTGTTTTAAAACAATTTTCATTAATTTATGTATTTTTAAATCAATTATAAATCTATTTGTATGAAATTTGTACAAGTAAAAATATAAAAAACTAAATCCGAGTCAATCCGAATTCAATCACGGCATAAAATAATAATTTTTTTTATAAAAAAATAGTATTTAAATTATTTTATTCACAACATAACATAAAAAAATAGTAATTTCATTGTTTTATTCATAACATAACAAAAAAATAGTATTTTAATTGTTTCATTCATTTATGAATTTTTAAATCAATTATTAATCAATTTGTATATAATTTGTACAAGTATAAATATAAAAAACTAAAATCCAAGTAAATCCGAATCAATCCGCATGTAATTTCTTACATAACAAAAAATAGATTTTTAATTGTTTCAAAATAATTTTTTATTCATTTATGTATTTCTAAATCAATTATAAATAAATATAAAAAAATAAAATCCAAGTAAATCCGAAGCAATCCACATGTAATTATGTAATTTCTTACATAACAAAAAACAGTATTTTATTTGTTTTAAAACAATTTTTATTTATGTATTTTTAAGTCAATTATAAATCAATTTGTATAAAATTTGTACAACTATTAAATATAAAAATAAAATCCAAGTAAATCCGAATCAATCCGCATGTAGCTTCTTACATAACAAAAAATTGAATTTTAATTGTTTTAGAACAATTTTTATTCATTTATGTATTTTTAATTAAATTCTAAATCAATTTGTAGAAGTATAAAAACCAAGTAAATCCGCATCAAACCGCATAAGATATTAATTTCTAACATAACAAAAAATAATATTTTAATTGTTTTAAAATATTAAAACAAATAAATCTTAGCAAAAATTGTAATAAACAAAAATTTCAGATGATATTCATATATCTGTGACAATTTTAAATCGCCTCAAGTACAATAAAATAGTTATTTTTACCCATGTAGTTATTTATAGGTATTGGTGTTCCTCAGGGTAAGGTCTGAAGACCTATTTTGACCAATATTTACGAAATATAAACAAAATCAAATTTAAAGTCAAAGTCAATAATTAAAGTAATAAATTCAAAGTCAAATTTAAAATCAATTTGACACATAACTATTGCCTTTACGCTTTGTTCTTAAGTTGGAGATTAAAGAAGGGCGTACCACAAGGTAGCATTACAAGACCTGACAATTAATTTTATGTACACAAGTATATTTATAGTTGTTTCAAAATTTGTTTTTCATTAACGAATTAGTGATTTCTCATATATATACATATATATATATATATATATATATATATATGTATATATTGTTTTTATTTTTATGTACAAAGCAGTGGTGTATTCAAAGCAACTAAAGTGCTCTTTTTAAACTAATTTTGAGAAAGGATTTATTTGTGTAAAAAGTGCAAATTTTATGAAGTGTGATAATAGTATAAGCCAATAGTTTTTATGCAATTTTATAAAAAAAACAAACGTAAGTAATGACGCAAAATAATTAAAAAAAAACTCGCATTTGGTGACAAAACGTAGAATTTTTTAAAAAACACTTTAAAAGGAAAAAAATCGATATAAATATAATATAAATAAGTATAAAAATTATAAAATTTTCAATAATCTTTGCATTTTCCAAAAAATACTTTAGAAAGTGAACAAATGAAAAAATCGTTATAAATATAATACAAATAAATATAATAATTATAAAATTTAAATTATCTATGTTTTGAACCTCAGTTCGAAGTTTTATCACGAACAGCGCTGCTTTTAGTCAGGTTTCAAACCAAGAGAGCAATTTTATTTATTTTTTATTCAGCAAAAGCATGTAGTGACACAACTTTGCATTTTTCAAAAAACACTTAAAAAAAACAAACAAAAAAAATCGTTTTAAATATGATACAAATAAATATAATAATAATTATAAAATTTAAATTATCCATGTTTAGAACTTTAGTTCTAAGTTTTGTCACGCGCAGCACTGCTTTTAGTCAGTTTTCAAACCAAGAGAGCAAATTTATTTATTTTATACATTTTAATCAAGCTTGAGTGTTTTATTTTCGAAGTGTATTTATTAATTAAGTGCAATAATAAGAATTTTGGAAAAAGTAAGTGTATGTATATATGTGATTAGAATTATAATAAATATTATTAAAATATGCGATGCTTAGATTTTGCAAAAATTTGATTTGTACAAATTAAATTGTAATTAGCCGTAAAATCGACCAATGGCAAGTTTGTGTTACGTATAGTTTTTCATACAAAATCGTACTAAAAACTGTCAAAAACCTGTGTGGTTGCTGTACAATTAGGCGCTTTTGAATACAAAACCTAACCTAGAAAACGCATATAAGTCGAAAAAAGTATGCTATATGTAACATATGAGTGGAGTTAGCATTTTGAAAGTATTTAGTATCATCTTATATGAAAAACGCAGCCTAAAATAGCCTTGCCATAACATTAATCTATTTTACAGCAAAATCAGCACTTAATTTGTGTAAAATGATTTTATAGATTTCGAATGAAAATGAAAACGTAAAATATTGTACAGATGTCGAATGAATTAATGAAAACGATCGATTTGATTGTGAATGATCGATAATGGATCGATGTATGTGACGATATACAAATTTATATATATAGTGGTCCTTAATATGGACATTTTCAAATTTCTTTGCTCCCAAGGGCTCAAAGGCTTCCAAAGTGATAAAAGAAAATCCTGTAAAAGTTTTAGCTCTTGATATTAACATTTAGATAGTCCGCAATATTAATAATGAATATACGAAACTTTTAATTGAATTGCGGACTATCTAAATGTTAATATTGAGACCTAAAATTTTCAGAGAATTTTCTTTTATTACTTTAGAAGCGTTTGAGACCTTGGGAGCATAAAAATTCGAAAATGTCCATATTAAGGACTACCATAATATATATATATATATATATATATATATATATATATAAATTTGCAAAATATATTTATTACAAAATATACATATTTACATCTGAAAATTAACAATTTTCATCATATTTTCCTCTGTCATAAATTTTATTTAGTATTATTAGTACAGTTGAAATAATAAGCTTAAAGTCTGAAATAATTTTATATAAGTTGAACCGATTTTTCAATATTTATAATATTCAATTTTCTAATTAATATGAATATTTATTAAATATATATATATATATATATATATATATAAATATATATAAATTATTAAATAAACAAGTCATTACATTTGGGATCAACTCTTTAGGTACATAGTACAATTTCATATTTGAATGTTAACTCGATAAAGATCAGAGATGTGGACTCCATTTTAGCTTCATAAAAATTTCGAAAAAGCCTTTTATTATTTTATGTAACTGATAACTTATAATCAGGAAAACCTCAGGTTTATTTGAGGTACTGATGAATTAAGTAGATAATTGAACCCAAGAATGTAAAATATTATAGGCCTGTGGGAGGTGGTTTGATTATAAAAACTAGTGGTGTATGGCATCGTGCCTTAAGGTAAATTTCTGGAACTCTGGAATGTTTAAACAATATTAAATTTTAAAAATGAGAATTTTGAAAAAAATGAGGTTTTTGAGAATTTTAAAAATTTTTAAATTTTTTTTGCAAAATATCAATTTTTTCATATTCGAGCAATTAAGTTATCAACTTAGAACATAAAGAAAGGACTCTATTGACCAGCAAATTAAATATTGATCTTGATGATGAAGAAAGGACTCTACTGACGAGCAAATTGA